CTATCTATCTATCTATCTATCTATCTATCTATCTATCTATCTATCTATCTATCTATCTATCTATCTATCTATCTATCTATCTATCTATGTACATACGTACGTACGTACGTATGTCTTGGTGTTCTATACCATATAAGGAATACACAAAAAGAGAAGATCAAGAAACACAAGCCAGACCCAGAAGAAGATGGAGACAACATCAAAGCATCAAATAACAATGGTTGAGGCCACCAGAAAGACAAAAAGCAGAACATTGCATCTCCCTTGATGGAGGGGAGGGGAGGAGGAGGAGGAGGAATAATAATATGTTTTCTTTAATCTGTGGGAAAATCCAAGTCACATCTGGTTTTGGATAAGAAATCTAACATTAACAGTAGCGTACCATATTGACTTCTGAAATACTGTCCAAATTTTCAACCTGCACATCCACTCCAACAGGAATAGCTGGACCTACAAGAGAAAGAAACTGAGATGTTGAATATAAGTAGTTCTTGCTTAATGATTAAATGAAACTTCTGAAATGGGTTTTTCTTTTCCTATATCTATTAAACAAAGAACAGCTCCTTTGTAGAGACATTGAAGTATTAATATGTCTTCCCTCCAGTAATGAGGGTGGGTGGAGGATGGCTGTAAAGATACCGTGTTTCCCTGAAAATAAAACAGGGTTTTATTTTCTTTTAACTCCCGAAATAAGCACTTAGCCTTATTTTTGGAGAGGTCTTATTATTTTTGAAGTGCAGGTGGCTCAGCCCATGGATCAGCTGATCCAGAGAGGGCCAGAAGTTCTATCTCTGTCTCTGTTTCTGGCACACTCTTGCCAGCCCTAGCATCGCTGGGCCTGCTACTCTTTTTGTGCCCGCCACTAAGAGAAGTGGCACAGTAGCTAGGTGTTTGTGGGAGCGACTTCCGCGAGGCCATTCTGCATGGATGGCAGGTGCATGTGGGGCACATGGAGCATATTCCCCACTTCTCCCTCCCCCCCAGGAAATGGTGGGGACTGGTTGTCCATGCGTTTAAATATTTTAGGGGAGGGCTTATTTTCATGGGACGGGCTTATTTTAGTACATGCGCTCAAAAGGCCAATTCGGGCTTATTATCTGGGGAGGTCTTATTTTCAGGGAAACAGGGTACAGTTGGCAATGGGAAAGAGCACTGTTGAAGCAAACAGAGGGCAGGGTCCAACTGAGAGTTGAAAGGGATTAACATTTCCTTGTGAATAAAAGAATGAAAGAAATGCCCATTCAAGGACAAATGTCCACCTTAAGTTATATTTCAGCTGCGCATAAGTGGTTTCCTCTTTAGGATTTGCATTTGTAATATTGAAATATGTTTTTTCTCTCTGTAATGTACATTTAAGGCTAGTTCTTGGATCATGCACTGCCAAGCCTAGCTATCAGATTTTGCTGCATCAATTACAAAGGAGATTTCCTATTTTCCCAAAGCAATTGGATCAGGGAACTAAAATAGGTGACATCACCACTCTTGGGTCAGATGTGATGAAAAGCACTCAGCATACCATAGTAGAGGATAGTGTTAAAAAACACACTAAGCAACTGTAGCTGTCAAACAAGTCTTAAATATAAAATTACTGGACATCCTTTTATGAATTAAAGCAATGATAGATAGAAGGCTTCTTTAAAAAACAACAACAACTTAAGCCTATAGATCCACAGTGGATTAAATTTAATGAATTAATAATTAGATGCAAATTAACTGTGCTTTGTGTTTCTAAGGCCCCTTTGAAAGCAGGAAACAATGGGGCGTGGAGAAAGATCTGTAAGGATCTTTCACAAAATGAAAGAGCACCAAGAATCTTGTACCATTTTAAATACTAACGAACAGCATCAGTATTCATGCATCCAGGTGCACAAAGTACTAATACTCATATCCAAGCTGTGAGAAAAAGCTTCAAGCCAGAGGGGAGAAAGGGAAATATAAATTCCTTGTTTTTCTCAGCAGTACTCTCTGAGAAACATATCCCTGGAGAATTTCATGGAGTGTTGTAGTAGTATCTCCTCCATGGGACCAGCCTTCTAGACCTCAACAAAAATAAGATATCCCAGGATCGAGTGAGAGCTAGAGATAAGAGAGAGTGTTGTGGGGCTGTTGTTGGTTTTTTGCCATAAAGAGATATGTGTGTAGCAGCACTGTGATACCAATCTTCTCCTAAATATTTCGGTGATCCTATCATATCTCAAGGGTTAGGAATAAACTATGCATTTTGAAATACATATAATACTCTCTGTCTCGTTTCTATCCTGCTTTAATCATGAGGTGGGTGAGAGATGCTGTTCCTGCAGCTTCGATCCAGGATACTTCAAAGACCGTGGCACGACAAAACCGCGCTCGACTAAAGTGCGCCCGATTAAACCGCGTCGCTGATGTCATCAACAGGGCGACAACAGCGAGCGCGGAGAAAGAAGGGTGCTTTAAATAGCGCTTTGAAAGCAAGCCGATTCAACTTAAGGTAAGGGTTAGGTTTAGGGTTAGGTTAAGGGTTAAGGTTAGGTTTAGGTTAAGGGTTAGGGTTAGGTTTAGGGTTAGGTTAAGGGTTAGGTTTAGGGTTAGGTTAAGGATTAGGTTTAGGGGGGTTAGGTTTAGGTGTTAATTTTAGGTTTAGCGTTTACAGCGTGCTTCTGTCTCCGCGTTGTTGTCGCCCTGTGATGACGTCAGCTACGCGGTTTCGTCGAGCGCGCTTTAGTCAAACGCGGTTTTGTGGTGGAACCTTCAAGGACAGCAATTGGTGGATTCCAACGCTTCTTCTCGCCTTCTACTCTGTGTTTCATCCTAGCCGGGGGGGGGCGGGGAAACAGGGCAGGCTGGGCAACTGGTCCCCGTGATGGATGCTTCAGCCAACTTTCAAGCTGAGTGACATATAGTCATAGAAAGATGCATCCTCCAACCTGCTCCTGTGCTTGTCTTCTGTCCTACTGACCTGTCAGCTAATCTGTTTTCAGACACGGGCTTAGCACTCTTTCGGAAGAGTGATAAGCAAAGGTTCAGAAATAATCCAAGTAATACCTCATCAATGTGGTGGAGGGTCTGAAAGGACTCTCAAGGGGGCCCTCTTATGTTTCACTCCACTCTTTCACTCCCCTCCCCTCCAGCGAAGAGGAAAAACTGACAGGCCTCTTGTCAATTTCACCAGAGGTCTCATCTATGCCAAACTGCTAACTGCTGCAAAAGAATGACAAGAGCCTGTGGACACCAGCAGCGAGAAGTAGCCTGTGGAATAGGCAAAATAATGCTCCCCCTCAAATGAATTAAAACCAGTAGAACTTATTTCTACATGGATCATCTTGTCAGCAGAAGTAGTAAAAAGGTCTAATGCACTTGTTTGGGACAGAACCAGTTAATACAAAGTGTTTTGACCCCCCTCCGTCCAGTGATTAACGCCGACACAGGCTTAGTAGTTTGCCACTCTTTATTTACAGCAATTACAATCCTGTTGGCTGAAAGCCCAGACACGACTCACAGGCAAGAAGTTGGCAGCAACCCAGACTCCCACAGACAAGAGATACAATACAAATAAGAGCTTCTCCAGATTGTTATGAATGGTTGTCTCCTGCAAAAGGATTCCTCCCAAAGTCTCTTCTTATATACTCTCTTGGCAGGGGCCAAACCACAACCACTTGGGCCTGATTATCTCCTATGAGTCTGTCTCCGTAACTGCTGCCTCTGTTTCTCCGCCCGACGTTGCCTGGCATCAGGGACAAACTCCCTTTGATTTTCCCCACTGCTCCATTGCCTGGCGTCAGGGACAAACTCCCTTTGATTTTCCCCACTGCTCCATTGCCTGGCGTCAG